TCTTCTTCCCTCCCTCCTTTTCCATCCACTCTGAAAAGCAGTATCCTCGCTGAGGATTTGAAAAGAAAAAAAAGCACATAGTATGTGTTCCGTTGTTGAATGGAGCCCTGGCTGGTGTGGCTCAATTGGTTGGAGCATCCTCCCATGTGTTCTGGTCAGGGCACATACACAGGTTCGATCACTGGTGTGGGTGTATGAGAAGCAACCAATTGATCTTCTCCCTCACATTGATACTTTTCTCTCTCTCTTCCTCTCTCTAAAACCAATAAAGTTAAAGTTACTCTTAAAAAAAAGACCAATGGGTAGAGATTAGGGAGACAACTAAAACTTTGTATTATGATCAATTTCAAACCCATGCATGCAATGAATCTCCGTGTATTTATCACCCAGCGCCAATAATGACCAACTTATGGCCAATCTTGTTTCATTTACACTCACCTTCCCTCCTTGACCTCAGGTTATTTATTTTTTAATCCTCACCAGAGGGGATGGAGATATATATACATATATATGTATATATATGTGTGTGTGTGTAATTTTTTAAAAAATTCTCAACTGAGGACATATATTTTTTCCATTGCTTTTCAGATAGAGTAGAAGGGGGAGAGAGAGAGAAACACCAATGTGAGAGAGACATATCCATTGGTTGTCTCCTGCACGTGGGATCGATCCTGCAACTGAGGTACATGCCCTTGACCTGAATCAAACCCGGAACCCTTCAGTCCACTGGTCTAGGCACTGAGCCAAAGCTGTTAGGGCTGGAGGATATTTTTTCCATTTTTTTTTTTTTTGGAGAGAGGGGAAGGGAGGGTGGAGAGGGAGAGAGAAACATGGACATGAGAGAAACACATGGGTTGGTTACCTCTAGCATGTGTCCCTACCTGGGTGAGGATCAAACCTGCAATGGAGGTAGGTGCCCTTGACTGGAATTTGAACCCGTGACCCTTTATCTGTGGGCTGAAGCTCTAACCAGCAAGCCAAACTGGCCAGGGAGACCTCAGGCTATTTTGAAGCAAATCAGATCTGTATTTTTTTTTTTTTTTTGGCTTGTAAATGTTTCAGTATGTATCTCTAAATGGTAAGGGCTTAAACAAACAAACCAACAATAGTTATCAAAGCTCAAAATTAACAGTAAGACTTTAATACCATTAAATGTTTGGTCAACATTTACTTTGTTTTTCTGTTGTATCTCCACGGTGTTATTACTGTAAATTGGTGGTTAGGTCTAGAGACTTGCTCAGATTTAGGTTCAATTTTTTGGGCAAGAACAATTCTTTTTTTAAATTTTTTTTATTAAATATATCTTTATTGATTTCAGAGAGAGAGAGAGAGAGACATCAATGATGAGAGTCATTGATTGGTTGCCTCCTGCATGCCCCCCACTGGGGATCAAGCCCGCAGCCCGGGCATGTGCCCTGACCAGGAATCGAGTGGAGATCTGGATCATAGGTTGATGCTCAGCCACTGAGTCACGCTGGTCAGACAAGAACAATTCTTAAGTGGTGTTGTGTATTTTCATCGGAAGGCTTGTGCAGCCCAGTTAACTCTCTTTTTCTGATGTTAGCAGCCCTTGATGATAATTGCCTCGATCCTTTATTCCATTAAGGGTCACAAAAAGGTGACATTTGATTTGAGGCTCTCATTATTTCTTCATTTATTAGCTCTACAACTTCTACAAAGAGAAACATCTCATTAAAATTTTGGTAATTGTTAGGTACAGTTCACATATGAAAGGCAGGATAAATAATTTCCCCCCTTTATTTACCAGTTTTCAAAATAATGAGTTGGTTCCCTGGTATTCTCCAAAGGGGATCAATAAGGCTATTTTAGTTTTTTTGAGTACCACTGTGAATTCACAGGTTTAATCATATTGGATGTATTTTTAATCCATTGTAGCTGTTATTCTGATTGATGCTTAAATTGACCCATCTTTGGCCAGGAGGGGTTTTTGCCAGTGCTGGTATTTTGAAATAACTCCACTAATTTCTGATAGCTTCCTTGCTATCCTAACAAATGTTTTAGACCCATCTTATACACTTACTGCCCCAGACCTGCAATCAAACAATTTCTCTAAGAACCCCTGTTTCCTTTTTGTAGGAATTACTATTTAGAGATGACAAGCTGGTGGTGCTCATTGATCCATTGTTTCTATGACTTTTTAGTGAGCAGAACTAAGAAATATAAATTGTTCTATTTTTTAAAGAAAAAATACAGTATGAAATTATACTGATAGTTCCATTTAATTCAGTTTGACACAGTTTTTCCTCAACTATCTTAATTTTGTATCTCCTTTCTCCTATACTAAAAAAATCCTGTCTCTTAATGATGCCAACATAATTACTTGTTTTATCCCATAATATATACACACACCCGTATCAGAATAAAATGAGACTACCAACACTAAGATTTCTGAAAATGGTTTAAGATTTTCTTTTCTTGCCCAGCCGAGCGTGGCTCAGAGGTTGAGCTTCGACCTGGGATCCAGGCGATTGGGGTTTGATTCCCGGTCAGGGCACATGCCTGGGTTGCAGGCTCGATCAATGACTCATCATTGATGTTTCTATCTCTCTCTCTTCCTCTCCTTTCCTCTCTCTGAAATCAATAAAGGTATATTAAAAAAAAAGATTTTCTTTTCTTTTTGTCCTTAGGCTATTTCCTATTAAGAATGTAGAGACAAGCCCCGGCTGGGTAGCTCAGTTGGTTAGAGCATTGTGGCAATACGCCAAGAATGTGGGTTCTATCCCTAGTCAGGGCATGTATAAGAATCTGCCAAGGAATGCATAAATAAGTGGAACAACAAATTGATGTTTCCCTCCCTCCCT